AGCAGCGATGCTGGCAAGTCAGATAAGCCATCAAGAAGCTGTAAAGTGCTTCCTCTAAGTGAAAAGTTGAAATCTGGAAAACTTGAGGAAAGGGGAAAAAAATGCCTAGGTTGCTATGGTCTAGGCTAAGAATGTATCTTTTGTGAAACAGTGAAAATGATATTCATGCTAGTTTTGCTACTGCACCTCAGATATCAAGGCTACAGCCGAAGTATGTGACAGGAACTCAGTTAAGATGGAAAAGGCATTCAGTTTGTTGATGTATATGAAAGCAAACGCAGTCTGTGTATGGAGGGCTTAGCACTGTTAGTGTTTTCTGGTATCCATGGGGTCCTGGAGCATAACCCTCTAGGATAAGAAAGTACTACAATACTACATAAAAGCAGGAGTTGAGGTAAAGGTATTTTCAGTTACATGTGAAGAAAATGGGGACATTTTCTGGCCCAGCCCTAATAACAAGATACCAATCAAATCTATAAAATAATAAGACTTCTTTCAATTTTAAGCTGAAAGGTATAACAGAAATATTCATGATAGCAAAGCCATTGGCACCAACACACCCTTCTCTCTGGCAGGACCCACATCTGCCTCCCTGCGGGAGGTATGCTTCATCTTCCAAAAGTTGGAGTAAAAAAATACTTAGGTAAACTTCACTCCTACTCATTTTTAGAGCTGCTACTCATTTTAGCTTAGAGGATCTTCCAACATTAAGTGAAGAACTATCCTGACCCAAGCATTATTTTAGGTACTATAAACAAAAATGAGTTCCCGCCAGCCAGATAGCTCAGTGGACTGCAGCGCCTGCTTAGGCAGAGCACAGCGGTTAGGGTTCAATCCCCTGCGTGCCATGCAGCCCCACCTCCGGGGCACGCTGAGACAAGATTGAGACCGGGCAAGGTGGCACACACCTGCAATCCCAGCGCTTGGGGGGCTGAAAACAAGAGAATCCCTGAGTCCAATCTCCATAGTGAGACCCCGTACTATATACATTAAAAAAAAAAAAAAAAGAGTTCCCAAACTTGCTTGTTTGGCCAGTCACATCAGATATTTTCAAAACTCTTTTTCCCTCCTCCAATCTCTTACTAGTAAAATGCACAAACATACTATACTCTTACCTGTACCTGTAGTCCACTTTAGCTAAAATGTCCAAAATATGTCTGCTTGACATATATAAACATGGTGTATAAAAATTGTAATACCAGATTTGGGTTATCATTTCATTTGTCTTTATTTTTTACAACATATATATATATGTATCAATATTAAGATATACAAAACTGTATGTTATAAAGCAAAATACTGTATGTAGTAAACACGCATAGTTCTCCCACCCAAGAACTAGAATGCCCCTTGGAATTTTCACATCCCACTGTATTTCTACCTTTTTATCCTCCTTCCACAGGCAATCACTAAGCTAAATTTTGTCTTACTGTTCTGTTACTTTTCCTCTAAACCCTTAACAATAGTTTCATCACATATTCACATTTAGACAATATAGTACCCTACCATGTGTGGTCTCATAGAACTAATTGTTTTTCATTGATATTTTCTGAGATACATTCTCATAGTAAGGTAAAAGGGTAAATCACTCATCACAGAATACGATCCCTTTGGGTTAAAAGTATCTAATTTATGAATCCATTCTTCTGTAGATAGATACTCCATTTTTTTCCAGTTAACAGTAAATATGTTACTATGAACATGGTTGTACACTCCTCAGCACATCAAAGCAAAGGACTTTGCTGAACATGTGACTGAGACCAGGAAGCCAGGACTGCAGCTGCTTTCTTAAGTGGTGGCACTATGTGACACACACATAGTATACGAGTTCCCACACTGCTTCTTTAACAACTGGTTCTGTCAGGCCCAATTTTTGCAAATCTTACCGATATAATGTGGACTTGCACTGTGATTTTAATTCATACTTCTCTGATCACTCATGCTATTTATCTGAAAGCCCAGTGTGAAATCCCTAGGTCTTTTCTATTCTTTAAATAGATTCCTCTATGTATCCTGATTACTGATTCTTTCTTAAGTCAAGTCATGGCTTGTCTTTTCACTTCAATTGTTTAACATAAGTCCTTAGTTTTGGTAGGCCTGAAGTAATACTCATATTTTATCATTCTTTATCATTAGTGGTTTCTCTCTCAAGATATTTTTTTTCCTGCATGTTTATTATCCTGCAAACATTTGCTATTTTTCCTTTCCTGTTAAAGCTCTTTACATACTTAGAATGAATGCTGGGGACGGTGTGAGGCAACAATCAGCTTCCCTTGTTCCTACATGAATAAACATTGTCCTCGCGTTGCTTCTATACTCCTTCCTGACCCAAATGATCGCTCATATCACAGCTGTCTGGACTCAAAGGTCAACATGTTTGGCCTGGGGTCTGGGCTCTTTCTTTCCATTGCTCAGAAAGCCATCTCTGAACATGGCTGATGCTATCTGCACAACAGAACTTGGTATTCTATAAGCCAAATCCCCTAAACTCCTTCATTTGTAGAAGCATCTGACCATTCTCAGTCCTGTGCTATTCCATATACAGAAAGTATCTGCTTATGTTTAACATAAGCTGCTTAAGTATCTTACGTTTAACATAAACTCTGTTGGAAATGGCACTGAAACTGTAGCTCATTTTAGAAAACTTTGATGTGCTCAGAGCCTTCAGCAATCTTACTCATGAACAAAGGCAGCTGTCCATTTGTCCTTCCCTTGCTGCTGCATCTGTATCTTTCAGGTTCCAACTCAAGACTCAGTCACTGCCTTCCCTGAATGTGTCTACTACAATCCCACCTTAAATAAGAGAAGTGTAATTTTTATGTGCCAAGTTTAAAAAAAAAAAAAAAAACAAACCTGTAACAGTCCAAGGAAAAAGAACATGCAGTGAGCTTGAGGTCTGCCGCCTGGCTGGCAGCATCACTCATTACTAACTACACTGGGATTGAAAAGAAAAGCATCTATAGTCTGGGCTGGGACACAATGGGAGTAAGATGCTTCACATCCTCCTGAAGGAGCTGAACACATAGCTACATTCTTCAGGAGACAAGAGTCTGGAAGGAGTGACCATGAAGTATTGATGGGATGAAATCACCACTGAAAATGTACAGACTTCAGAGGGCAACGAAAGACAGACCCTCAGGAACATGACAGTGTAAGTAGGAAGAGGAACAGAAAAATGGCTGAGAAGTGAACATAAGTAAAAGCCATACATGGAAGTGATCAAAAATGGAGAGTGATGTTCAAGGACATCTAGAGTAAGAAGAGTTCTGAAAAACTCGATACCGAAAGAGAAGAAAACCCATTGCATGGAAAGGTCACTGGATGTAATATTTTGTTTTGTTTTGTTAAGATGGGGTCTCACTATGAAACCCAGGCTGGCCTCTAACTCACAGCCACGATATTGCCTTAGCCTCCCAAGTGCTGGCATTACAGGCATGTACCACCACACCTAGCTGGGAGTGACAATTAAAGTTCACTAATAGCAGGAAAGATAAGAGAGAGAGAGAGTGAGATGGATGGACGGATGGACAGAGAGAGAGGAGAGAGAGAAGGAGAGAGAGAGAAGGAGAGACAGAGAGAGACAGAGAGAGACAGAGAGAGAGACAGACAGAGAAGGGAAGGAATCTGCTGAAGAGGCCAAAAGTTTGCTTACAGCCTTTGTTGTTTAACCTTTGCTCATTCAGCAACTGTTAATAAC